TATATATATATTTGATACAGGGTCTCATGTAGCCCAGGTTGGCCTCAAACATGCTATCATCAAGTCCTAGAATGACTGTGAACTTCTTACCTCCTAAGTGCTGGGATTAAAGGTACACTGCCACAACATGTTTATGGGATGCTGGGGATCGAGCCCAGGGCTTCTGGCACAGCAGGCAAGTGCCCTACCAACTGAGTCACATCCCCAACCCTCTTTTAATGTTTTGAAATAGGATGTTCATGGGCTGAAGATAGGGCTCAACAATGAGGGCTTGCTGCTCTTGCAGAGGAATCAAGTTCAATTCCATGCACCTACATCAGGCAGCTCACAACTGTCTGTAACTCCAGCTCCAGGGGATCTCTGACCTCCGCAGGCACTTGCACACACATGCACCAAACCTACACTCAGACACACATATACACATAATTAAAAGAAAGTAAGTAGGTTGGTCATTTCATCTTCCATTGGACAGTGACAGCTACAATCTCTGATCTTGGCCATGTCCATCAACGCTGACAAAGTGTCCAGGGCATTACAGCGGTGACATTATATGAAACTCAGGGTGGACAGTGTGGGGGCTGTGTCAACAGAATGTAGGGAAGTTGGCTTGGTAATGTGAGGGTGGGGTAGACAGCACCAGGTGTGTCGACCATCCCAGAGGACCATGTGAGCACCGTCCCAGGAGTCAATGTCACACTGTGGGGTGGCAGCAACACAGCCAGCTTGAGGTGGGGATAGTTGAGTATGGTGGCGGGGGGATTGGCAAAGACAATATGGGGGTCATGTAGACAGTGCTGGAGGACAATGTGGAGAGTGCCTTGAATAATTAGGGTCAAAAAAATTAGGGGATCAGGGCTGGAGAGATGGCTCAGCAGTTAAGAACACTGGCTGCTCTTGCAGAGGACCCAGTTCGATTCCCAGCACCTACATGGTGGCTAACAACTATCTGTAACTCTAGCTCCAGGTGATTTGACACCATCTTTTGACCTTGGCAGGCACTGCATGACACGAGTGCACTTGCATACACGCAGACAATATACTTATGCACATAAAAGAAAAATAATAAAATATTTTTTAAAATTAAGGGGTCCGTGTTGCAGTGAACTGACATCACTCCACAGCCGCTAGTCTAAGGAGCTGGTGTAGACAACAGAAGTGGGTTAGTGTAGACAGAGAGGTGGGAGAGTTGGCCCTCGCGCATGCGCAGACGCACTCACAAGGAAGGGAGAGGGTGACGGACTGCAGGTCAGGCTGGGGGAAGCTCTCGTGCTTCACGCTGCAGGTGAGGTTCTTGCCATCTGCCTGGCTGGAGGGAACCAAGGAGAAGAAGCTGGTGACCGTGAAGGTGCCCGGCTGTGGCCCTGGCTTCCAGCTGTGCTGCGTGGTTCCATTCAGGTCTGTGCGCCAGGTGATTTGGGCAGGAGGGAGTCCTCCAGAGGAGACGCATTTGGCCACATGCACGGAATCCTGGGTAGGAGCATCAACCAGGGCCTCTGGAGCCACAACCAGGGCCTCCGCTGTGTTCCTTGGCCGGGCTGCAAGAAGAACATGGACAGTCACTTGCAACCTTGTGGTCATTCACAAGTCCACAGCAGCTGGGGCGGACCTTGTTTTGGGGGAGGATAGGACCTCGCTATGTAGCCCAGGCTGGCCTCCAACTCACCATCCCTTTGCCTTAGCCTCTCTAATGGTGGCCACCATGCTTGATGCTGAACGAAGCCATTTAAGGATACAGGATGGCTAATTCGGAGATCCCAGCTGTGGGCCAGTGAGGCTGCTCAGCTGGTAAAGGTGCTAGCCATGTACACAGAGATAAATAAATGAAATGTAGTAAAAAACTTTTAAGGCTGGGCGTGGTGGCGCACGCCTTTAATCCCAGCACTCGGGAGGCAGAGGCAGGCGGATCTCTGTGAGTTCAAGGCCAGCCTGGTCTACATAGTGAGTTCCAGGACAGCTGGGGCTACAGGGAGACCCTATCTCAAAAAAACCAAAAAAAAAAAAAAACAAAAAAACTTAAAAAATGAAACCCCAGATCTGTCCCTGAGCAGCTAGCTATGGGTAAGTCTCTTTGTCTGTGCCTCAGTTTCCTTCTTTGTCAATGGGGGATAATGAAAAAAACTTTGATGTTCAGAATATGCAAGTCAAACATAAAAAGTGCTTTGTTTTTTTTTTTTTTGTCTTTTTGAGACAGGGTCTCCCTATAGTCCCAGCTGACCTGAACTCACTGTTTAGATTAGTCTGGTCTTGAACTCACAAAGATCCTCTTGCCTCTGCCTCCCGAGTGCTGGGACTAAAGGCGTATACCACCACACCCGGCCTTGATTTTTTTTTTTTTTTTAAAAAGGGGCCATGGTGCATGCCTGCAATCCTGGTGACTGGGGTCCTCACACATGAGCATACTCACTCAGAGCAGGGAGAGGGTGATGGACTGCAGATATGGCTCAGAGAAGCTCTCATACTTAGGAGTCAGAGACAGGCAGATCTCTGTGAGTTTAAGGCCAGCCTGGTCTACAAAGCAAGTTTCAGGCCAGCCAGGGCTACATAGTGAGACCCTATCTCAAAAAAATGTTCAAGGTCATCCTCAGCTACATAGCAAGTTGGAGGCCAGCCTGGGCTATAGGAGACCCTGTCCTGATTCTTTGACCGCTCTCCACACTAGGTCTGGGCAATGGAAGAGGGCATGTCCATCATCCACACCCTCCACCTCTTGGCTGGTTCCCTCCAGCCCTCACAGCCCCCAGGTTCCTGCTAGATACAGCCATGCTTACCGAGCACCCGCAGCCAGACCTGGGCACTCTCACTGCCCATGGGGAACGTGGCAAACTGGCACGTATAGTTGCCCTCATCTTCAGCACGCAAGTCGGATATGGCCAGAGATGCATTCAACAGAGCCTCGCCAGGTTTGGTGGCCACAAACTGTAGCCTCCCTGGTTCTGGGAAGTAGGGACCCTTTGTGGAGTGGAAGACAGCCACAGTGTGTGAAGACTCATCTGACTTCTTCATCCATGTGACTTGTGTCACTGTCACCTGCTCTTCAGATTGTAGGCTACAGAGTAATGTCACAGAGTGGCCCAAGAAGCCTGTCACCTTGGTGGCTGCCCGCACGGCCACAGTCTCTGCTGGGAAACCAGAGGCACTATTTATTTATTTATTTATTTTTACATTTTTATTTATTTTAATTTTGTGTGTATTTTGCCTGCATGCATGTAAGTGTACAACATGTGCACAATGCTCACAGAGGCCAGAAGAGGGCGTTGGATTCCCTTGAACTACAGTTACCAACAGTTGCTAGCTGCTATGTGGGTGCTGGGGAATTGAACCTGGGTCCTCTGGAAGAATCACCAGTGCTCTTAACTGCTGAGCTCTCTCTCCAGCCTCATGGTCTCTTAATTTCATTCCCCATAAAAGGAACCAAGCCTCCTTTCAGAAATAGCTGATTCATTGTTGTTACTGTTTTGTTTTTTCGAAACAGGGTCTTGGTATGTAGTATTGGCAGCCTGGTACTTTGTAACTCAGGCTTGCCTTGAACTCACAGAAATCCTGCCTTAGCTTCCTGAATTCTGAGATTATGGGTATAAACTGCAACATCCAACTCCTGATTCCAGTTTTGTGAGGAAAAGTATAGGGTGAACCTAGGCCTCTTTTGGGGTGCAGAGGACAAGGACACTTCCAAAATCTAATGACTGTGACAAAGTAACATTAGAGCATTTCAAGATAGAGATGCTCCCTGGCTACACTGAAAACGTGAGCATCAAAATGAAGAACAGAAGTGGGGTATGAGGCTGGGCGTGATGGCACACGCCTTTAATCCCAGCAGAGGCAGACAGATCTCTGTGAGTTCAAGGTCAGCCTGGTCTACAGAGTGAGTTCTAGGCCAGCTGAGACTACAGGGAGACCCTGTCTTGAAAAAAAAAAAGACAAAAAAATTTAATATGTATTTATTTATGTATGTCATGGTGTTCAAGTGAAGGTCGGAGGACAATCTGCAAAGTCAGTTCTTACCTTCTACTGTGTGGATTCCAGGGGCTGAACTCCAGTCATTAGGCTTGGCCCACCACACCCGGCCTTGATTTTTTTTTTTTTTTTAAAAAGGGGCCATGGTGCATGCCTGCAATCCTGGTGACTGGGGTCCTCACACATGAGCATACTCACTCAGAGCAGGGAGAGGGTGATGGACTGCAGATATGGCTCAGAGAAGCTCTCATACTTAGGAGTCAGAGACAGGCAGATCTCTGTGAGTTTAAGGCCAGCCTGGTCTACAAAGCAAGTTTCAGGCCAGCCAGGGCTACATAGTGAGACCCTATCTCAAAAAAATGTTCAAGGTCATCCTCAGCTACATAGCAAGTTGGAGGCCAGCCTGGGCTATAGGAGACCCTGTCCTGATTCTTTGACCGCTCTCCACACTAGGTCTGGGCAATGGAAGAGGGCATGTCCATCATCCACACCCTCCACCTCTTGGCTGGTTCCCTCCAGCCCTCACAGCCCCCAGGTTCCTGCTAGATACAGCCATGCTTACCGAGCACCCGCAGCCAGACCTGGGCACTCTCACTGCCCATGGGGAACGTGGCAAACTGGCACGTATAGTTGCCCTCATCTTCAGCACGCAAGTCGGATATGGCCAGAGATGCATTCAACAGAGCCTCGCCAGGTTTGGTGGCCACAAACTGTAGCCTCCCTGGTTCTGGGAAGTAGGGACCCTTTGTGGAGTGGAAGACAGCCACAGTGTGTGAAGACTCATCTGACTTCTTCATCCATGTGACTTGTGTCACTGTCACCTGCTCTTCAGATTGTAGGCTACAGAGTAATGTCACAGAGTGGCCCAAGAAGCCTGTCACCTTGGTGGCTGCCCGCACGGCCACAGTCTCTGCTGGGAAACCAGAGGCACTATTTATTTATTTATTTATTTTTACATTTTTATTTATTTTAATTTTGTGTGTATTTTGCCTGCATGCATGTAAGTGTACAACATGTGCACAATGCCCACAGAGGCCAGAAGAGGATGTTGGATCCCCTGGAACTGGAGTTAGGGGTGGTTTTTAGCTGCCACATTGATGTTGGGAACAAAACCCAGATCCTTTGCAAGATCAGTCAGTGCCATTAACTCTTGAGGCATCCCTATTTTATTATTATTATTTTCTTTTTATCTTTTTTTGAGACAGGGTCTCCCTGTAACCCCAGCTGCTTGGAACTTGCAATGTAGACCAGGTTGGCCTTGAACTCACAGAGATCCATCTGCCTGCTTCTGCCTCCCAAGTGCTGGGACTACAGGCATGTGACACCATGCTCAGCTCCCTATTTTATTATTTTATTTATGTCTTTTTCTTTTTCTTTTTTGAGAAAAAAAAATCTTATTCTGTTCTGTAGCTCAGGCTAACCTGGAAGTCATGGCAATCCTCCTGCCTCAGCCTCCCAAGTGTTGGACTCTTAACCACTGAGCTATCCCTTCAGCCCCTACGCTTGGCTTTTTTTACATGGGGTCTGGAGATGGAACTCAGGTCCTCATACTTGTGTGACAAGCCCTTCTCCTCAGCCCCTCCTCCCACCATACTTAATTAAAATACCTTAGTTACCTTTCCCAAGGTGACCAAATGTCAAAGGCTGCTGAGTTTTAAATCCACAGTAGGCTGACTTCAAAGCTGTACTCCCAACATTTGGAACACTGCCTGGTACATAGTGGGTGCTCAATAAATACATGTGGGATGAGTGTGTGAGAATACGAATGAATGCTGGACATGGTGGAGCGTGTCAGTAATCACAGCACTCAGGGAGGCAGATCCAGGAGGCTCACTGTAAATGCTAGACCAGCCTTGTCTACATAGCATTCCCAAACAGCTAGGGCTGCAAAGTGAGAGCCTGTCTCAAAAGCTAAAAAATTGGAACATAGCTCAGCTGTAGAGCACTTGCTTAGAATCCCCCAGTGAGGGGCTGGGGGTGTGGCTCAGTGGTAGAGCACCTGCCTAGAATCCCCCAGTGAGGGGCTGGGGGCACAGCTCAGTGGTAGAGCCCCTGCCTAGAATCCCTCAGTGAGAGGGCTAGGTTCAGTTTTCCATACAGCCGAAAAGAAAGAATGAATAAATGCCTGAAGATTAGGGTCTTGGATCCCGACCCTTGATCAGGAGGGGCTATATCTGTGCCACCCTGCTGTGGCATGAAGGGTGTGGCAAGAGCTAAGGTCATATGAGTCATTCTGGTTAGTTTCCCAGAATAGCCTTTTGGAATTCATTTTTTAATTTTAGAAAGTAATTTAAAAAATGAGCCAGGGTCTTACTCTGTAGCCCAGGCTGGCCTGGAACTCACAGCAATCCTCCTGTTTGTCTCCCAGATGGCCGGCTTTTCGGGAATCTCTGCCCTGGTACCCAGCCGTGTCACTTTCCCCACGGCTGGGCGGAGGGGATGAGGTGACCCGGTCAGTGCGGCCCACTATGGGGGGGGTCCCGGAGAGGTGGGTCACTCACCGGCTTCGCAGGGCTCGCAGCTCAGCAGCAGCACCAGCAGCACCAGCAGCACCAGCAGCAGCAGGCAGGTCGGCCCGGGCAGGGCACGGCAGGCCATGCCGGTCCCCGGGGCTGGTGACTCCGATCCACGCTCCTCCTTCGCCCGCGTCCGAGTCACAGACTACGAGAGCAGAGTCCCAGCTGGGATTCCCGGGGAAGCGGCCGCCCACGCTTTAGCCAGGGCTCAGTGTGGGAATCCCGCAACCTGGGAGGAGGCCATGCAGGCGGATCCCCTAGGCAAGTGCCCGCCCTCCGCGCAGGCGTCGCCAGGCCGTTCCCCAGCCAGGTCCCAGCGCTGGGTGGGGGTGGGGAGGCGAATTCCAGCCCTCCCCAGGCTGTGCCAGGCAGATGGCTGTGAGTCTGAGGCCAGCCTGGGCTATATAGTGAGTTCCAGGCTAGCCAGGGCTACATAGTGAGACCCTGTCTCATAGTGTGTGTGTGTGTGTGTGTGAGAGAGAGAGAGAGAGAGAGAGAGAGAGAGAGAGAGAGAGAGAAATTAGCGAGGGCTGGCGATGTAGCTCAGTTGGTTGAGAACTCTCGCCTAGCGTGCTGGAAGACCCAGATGTAGTTGCACACACACCTGTAATCTTAGTACTCAGGAGTTGGAGGCAGGAGGATAAAAGTTGAAGGTTAGCCTCAGCTACATATGGAGCGCCAGACCAGCCTGGGCTACAGGCTGTCTCAAAGAAGTCAAGAGAGAAACAGAAAAACAAACAAGCCAAAGAAAAACCTCAGGGCTGGGGATATTAGGTCAGCTAGGAGAGTTGCCTGGAAAGCATGACTCTTGACTTTGATCTCCAGTGCCACAAAGTGGCCTGATAATGCAGGCCTGCGGATCTTAGCCCTTGGGATGTGGAGGATCAGGAGGTCAAGGTCATCATCGGCTACATAGTTTGAGGCCAGCCAGGGTTACATGAGATAAGAAAAACCTCAGGGCTGGGGATATTAGGTCAGCTAGGAGAGTTGCCTGGAAAGCATGACTCTTGACTTTGATCTCCAGTGCCACAAAGTGGCCTGATAATGCAGGCCTGCGGATCTTAGCCCTTGGGATGTGGAGGATCAGGAGGTCAAGGTCATCATCGGCTACATAGTTTGAGGCCAGCCAGGGTTACATGAGATCTTGTTGCCAAAAAGGAAAAAAAAAAAACAAAAACCTTAAAAAACATTATA